GGTTTTCATGGTTAGAGACAAATGCAATCGCATGGCAGGATGCTGTAAACGGACCAAACTTCAGTCAGGAGAACAACTGAGATAATCCATCCACAATACGAGGTTAGTCATTAATATACTGCAACAACATGGGAATAGAGCAGCTGCAGAGAATTCAACATTAATGAATCAATGGTACAGAAGTGGAGGAAGCAAGAAGAATGAGTTTAATAAAGTTTGATTTATCTGACTGCTTTGTTTCGCTTAATGTGCCTTATAATCCCGTGCACCTTATGGTCCGAAAAATACGTACTGCACACTGCAGTTTAATGTTGCAAAGCACCTCTTTTTAACTTCAGTGGATATTATACATGGTTATGCTCAGGATATGTCAGCCCATTTCTACTGGAAATGCCTTTTGGTTAAACTTTCAGCAAGGAATTTGCATTTGCACTGTTACATTTTTATAAAGCTTTAATGTACATAAAAACCAGCTTCTTGTTTAAGTGAAAATAAATGGAAGGTTGTCTTTTTGCGCTAGTAATGTTGTGGAGCTGTATTTTGTCTCGCATCAATTATATCGTCGGTTATATCGTTATCGCAAATTTTCAAATATATATCGTGATAAATATTTTTGGCCATATCGCCCTGCTCTACAAGCTACTCTGAAAGAGTGAAAACATAGACGCTAGATGCACTGTTACCTGAGAAAGACTTAAGACTCTCAAAGATCAACTGATCACTCATAATAACATGTACTAGACAAAGAAATTAGTATCTGTATATTAAGATGAAGTCTGGTGCTGCAGTTAAAAAAAAATGCAAATCATTTTAGGTAATTGTAACAATTGCAAGTCTTCAACAAGCTTAACCGGCTTATGGATTTGAAAAATAAATGCATGTGCATCCACAGCCCCTGCTCCTCTCGACAGAGTACTAAATCATTTATCAGATTTGTCAAATGGGATGGTTGTGGAACAGTAGACGAGTGTAAATGTTACATGTTCTGGATCTGATTCTTGTACCTGTGGTTAAATATGAAAGTGGAAAAAATATTCAATTTCCAATATTTCTTTATTTCATTATGAATAGAAGAAAAGATTTCTTTTAAACCCCCTCATTCTTATGATAACATACATCTCTTTCAAATGTAATAACCCAAAACATATATAGTCAACCAAAGCCCTCCATGACTATTTCTAGTATTTTTGCACTTACCTTGAATTTCCCAACAAATATTTCTATGAAATCAAAGACAGGGACTACCCCAACAGAAGGTGCATCATCATCACTGAATCATGATAAAGACCAACCAGTTTTAGAAGATATCATTAAACACATGACCAACACCACTGTGCTCCAATAACTAATAAAGCTTTACTGCTGCAGTGGTTGCTCTTACTCCCTACAATGTCTGTGAACTTTTAAAATCTATAGTCTCATTAGTGTGTCCTATTTTCCATTTAGTATGTGTTCAAGCTTTGATTCTCTTTGCAGATTTACTAGTATCCCGAAATTGGGCATATTCCCAAAATCCACTATTTTCCGATTAATTGTAAGACACTGTCATACATCACTGTGAGTCATCTGCCTTACATGAACAACACACCTAAACAAGTCCACACAACACTTTTCAGTATGCTGGAAAGTTCTCATGGAATGAGTACATTTTAAGAAAAGCATTTGAATGCACCATTTGCTGCTTAGTTCAAGCTAGTTAGAATCATTTAATGTCATTAAAACTATGTTTCATCCTTATTTCGTTATAATTCAACATTAAGTGGGAAAAGATAGACCTCATCAGCATCAATGCAGCAAATAAGCAAGTACTGATGGCAGACGCTGTGAAATGCAGCTGAGCAGCGACACGATCAACCAACCGTCCATTTTTTGGTAACTTGTGAGTGTTTTGTTTTTTTAATACAAGACACAGATTTCCGTACAATCAGGTCCTGGATTGAGTAGCAGCAATTGCATTGGTATGAAAACCCAACTGATTCAAAAAGAGCAAATGTGTTTAAAAAAATATTGCTGTGCTTAAAAAATGATTCTTTCTTTACCAGGTCTGCAATGCGCTGGCTGAATTTAAATCAATGTAATGCATCATTCAGAATTGCGATCGAAAAATCAGCACTGTTACCATGGGCGGTTTGTTAGGCGGTTACAACCGAGGACTACAATCCAAAGAGAAGACACGCACACCCTTTTTGCAAGAGATCACTAATCAAACTGTTTTTTCTGCAAAATTGAAAAACAGTAATAGTAATTCAACCAATATCATGATAGTATAGAAGTAATTTGGGACTGTTGAGCTATTATCTTTAATTCCAGTCGGTTCACAGATCAATGGGAAGAGGAGAGCACTGTTCAAATGGAATGACTGCAGAGTGGACTTTCCATTTAAATAAACGATCTGAATAATATCACGCATCATCGTCCTGTTTCTGACCACTCAGTGCACAAGCTTTTTCCACCAACATACACCTCTGGGCTGATCTTTACTTCTAATATGGGTGTTGGCCAGGCCGATAGCAATCACACTCACTGTCCTGCATTGTGCCAAATTAAAATCCTCCTTCTTGAATCTCCAGTGCTGAAGGTCATCAGCAGCAGTAGCACAGCAGAAGCAGCTGAGTGATGTTGGAAATATCAAGACATGATGGACTACAGCTCTCTGGCCCGAGGGTAAAGCACAGCTACTCCCTGCCTGGGATACTTACTCCTTAAAACTTGCTCTACTTACTCCAACACATTCGCAGCTTGCTACAGAATAGCAGCCTGTGACTAACAAATCTTTAGGCAATCAATATCAATATAGATATTTAATATCATTCAATGTCGAACCAGAAATCAAGGCAATTACTTGAATTGATGGTAATATAGAGATAAAAGAGGATGCTGCAGTGTTAATCCATTTGTTTATTAATTTAAAACATTGCTGATTTCTCAGCTGCACAAAAATGAAATCATTCACATAACACAAAACGCTGCCTATATCTTTTTAACATTGAACATTTCGGAACAGAAACCTTTATTTTTATTCAAAATCTATGCACAAAATTCCTGATTATATTCTGATATTTAATACATACTTTGGTAATTCACCCACAAGAGATATGCGATGGGAATTATGGAATTGTGTTTTTATATATTATGTAAGTCATTATGGCGAAGTAAAGTGATTGTTGCTTGCTTGCCAATTCGACATGCCGAATCCAGCTTTTTTTGTCTTTTCTGACCTTTAACAACAGCAAAAACGCTACACAGATTCAACAGTTCTTGGTCACATTTAATTCTTTTGTCTGCTTTGAATGGCGGAACTGGTGAGCTACAAAACTGTTGCTGGTGAGCGGGACAATAAGGATGAGTTCAGACCCGAAACACTCTTCAAATTGCTGCCAACTGTCATGAAAGCACAAATTAAAACGCCAGAGAGAAAACACAATAGACTTGGCATTTGCAAGCACCAGCTACACAGCTATGGCGCTACATAAATGGGACCGAGGAATGTGTGAATCTGTTGCAGAAACATTGACTTTGAAACATTTGTTTGTATTTGAGTGATATTTAATATTGTCAAACGGGGCTGGGTCTTGCTGGGTGATAATATCCCAACTGAAATTGGCTGCAAAACTAAAATGAAATGTGCAATGTCCAAAACTACTGCTAGGCATAACGAGCTTGTTTCAACAGTCGGAAGCAAAGTGAAAATGGCATTTCGTTGCTGCTTTGTCTTATTTCCTTTCACTGAGTCTTTGAAACAACTCTGGAATGGCAGCACTCCAAAACACAGAACAAAGACCTAACCTCAACTATAACATAGCATATTTTTAAAAAAAAAAAATTTTTTTCTTTTCTTTTCTTTTCTTTTTTTGTTTGTTTGTTTGGGTTTTTTTGTTTTGTTACAATAGCTAACATCAGCCTAACGCATCTTGGCACATAAGCCTTCATCAGAGCAGCCAACCAGACGAAGGTTATATGAGGAGGCACACCTGCTATATGTTTTTCACTGCTTGCTCTCATTCTCATCAAGTGTAGTGTAGTCACAGGGCTGACAAGCTGCAGCCTGCAGCATATTTAAAAAAAGGTACTGGTGAACAGTGTGCATCTATTTAATAAGCGTAATTTAGATCATGTATGTTAAAGAAAACCACTATCAGCCAAATAAGCCTCCTAAATGTATGCAAATGTATGTCTGTTTACATTTGAAATGAAATTCAATCAAATCTACAACCCTGAACATTTTTTACAGCAAAACAAAAGCAACGCTGCCACAGCTGGAAATGTTAACTTTATGTTATCTCAATAACTTAAATGTCAAAAGGAAACCAACCACTGGCTTTTCATCCTGTACATTGTAAGTACACATGATCTACTTAATTTGCAAAAGAAAAGCTTTAATTATTATTGATTTTTTTTCCCCAAACATTCATTTTACACAAAAGAGACCCAACGAATTACCTATTAAAGTACCAACAAATTAAGATAGATTGTCCAGCTATTTTCATACTTCTGCTTTAGTTAAATAGCTTCAGTAAAACAATCACTCTACGTAGCAAACAAGAACGAGTTGTCCTCCGTGTTGTATACTTTAAAGAATCATAAAAGCAAACATTATTGTAATGAGCAAATGCATAATTTCCAGTAAAAGTTAATGGGCCAAATGTATGGCGTAATGTGCAACGCAGAGGCCATAAAACATCTCTAATCAGAAGTGCATTCAGAAAAGTATTGAAAATCAGTGCATTCAGTCTGCCAGATTTTAAAAGACATAGCGTTTGACGGCTCGTCTCCATGTATGCCCTACTTCTAGAGGAGCAGCCATCTTCGATTATGTGGATAGATGCATAGTAATGACATGGTAGCAGTCACTTCAAAGCTCATCCCCATTTCTTTTTTTTTTGCCACAGGCCAACTCTTCGGCAGCTCTCGGCTTAGGGATGACTCGTAGATATCATCATGACCAAACCTTGAATTGTTAAGACCCTCGACCCATAAACAGATGTAATCATGACACGTACCTCCAAAATCAGGCCTTAAACGGATGTCATATCCCTTCAGCAACTTGTCCACGGTGGTCTTGGCCACAGACATGCCGGCGCTTCCAATGGAGGAGCTGGAGGGGAGGTGAAAATCCAAGAGGCATTTTTAAGCAGCAAAAGCAGAAGTGTCCAATACTTTTATCACAAACATTACGCATCTCTGCAGCACACCTACTGAGTGATAGTAGCCTGAAAGCTGTGCTGCACATACTCTATATTCCTTTTCAAATGTCACATTTGAAAAGGAAGCCCTGATGAGGTGTTAGCAAAAGGGCAGAAGGGGACTTTGGATGTTAAACAACACCTCGCATACAAATAATCCCATCCACGCGTGCATCCCACGTCCTTCAAAGTAAACATTATTTCACTACCAGACTCCAGATTTAATCAAAACGCAAAGAAAATAGCACTGCAAAGAATTAAATCCATGCAGATGCTTTTTTATTTTCTGTGTTACTCTGAGGTGCACCTGATAAATTGTTAAAACAATCCCATGTTTGTATCATAACTGGAAAAGCTTGAAAAACGTGCTTTGCATTGTGCATTATCCCCCTCTGCCCCACCTACAGCATATTCATCAAATCGGTTGAGGGGGTGCAATGATGGTGCACCTGTCAAACGTTTTATATTGATGCCAGTCCTTCAGAAACAATGGTGTTAAGTGTAACAACGTCACAGTTTATTTGGCTCGCCATCAGCTAAAAGCCCAGCGTGATTCAGTGGCGTGTGTTTTAATAAGCACGAGGTTATAGCAAAAAGCCTCCCATCGTGCCGTCAGAAGCACGGGCCTCATCAGTCTGAGCCCGGAGACAGACCACCTCTCCCAGGAGGAACTGCATAGTCCACTCTAGTCTGAGTGGCATCTATAACATTGGTGCCATGACCTGCATCACCTAGCAGAGAGCAGCTCTCCAGCTGAGGTTCCCTATTACAAGGAAGGGGCTGAATGAGTGTAGAGGGAGGGTGTGCATGCGTGCGTGTGTGAGGGGGGTAAATTGCTCCCTTGGTATGGCAGGAGCACTACTGCCCACGGCTCAGTCAGGGAATCACTGTTCAATTAGCTCATAGGCAGTGCAGCTGTTCATCAAGCTGGGCAGTTGCAGGGCCGGAGGGTTTGACACCTGACAGCATCATGAGGGAATCTGCAAAAATCAAACCCTTTCATTTGCTTGGGTCAGACTATTGTAATGGAATCAGATGTCAAAAGGTGCAGCCCAGTGTTCTCAGTGAGCATTTCACTCTCATAAGGGAAGCTGCAGGTTGCTGCAGACCATGAAAAAGGAGTAGGCCACAAGGGATGAAAGCTACATCAGTTCCTCTAAGATCAAAACAACTACGGAACTGATCAGGAGACTGACACTGAGACGTTATCCATGAAGTCTTGTGCAGTAATTTGGCAATGGTGTAAACATTTAAAAGCCATGGCACATGAATTTAAAAAAAAAAAAAACGTTGCAACGTTAAAGGGCTACCCTGTCATCTATGTGGAGAGCAGCAGAGGATGACAACCCGCCAGGATTCCTTCTCAAAATCAGATTGAAACACGTATATAAATATACAAAAAGGAGCAAGTGGGCGACAGCAGTATGAATACGAACATTAGTTGGCGTTGAAAATTAAAAGGGTTTTGCTTGCTGGATACAGTGCTGTAGTTCACAGCTGCGGACAGCTGCTTAGAACAGCGTAATCAATCGATGATCGGCTGATTGATTGTATCGCTTAATCATCGCTCAAGCCTACAGTGCCTACTCAGGGCTGTCATTTTACACAGTCTCCCCAGACAACACACACACACACGTATATCCCCATTTTGATATCGGGAGTAGGTTACGTTTCACAATGGGCTTCTGGTTGTGCACGCGCATGTTTTTACGCTCGCGCGCGCCAAAGCGCCGTCTAATAGGGCATATATCGGCAGCAATGCCCCTAATAAGTAGGCCTGGGTACCCCGTTAATGCGATTTGCCACATCTGAGCCTTTTATTGACCGGTAATCACGTCTACGGGTGTGACAGTTCGTAATTTCTTTTCTTCTTTTTCTTCCAAGCGACATTTTCTTACCTTTGAACAAAGCATACGAAGGACAAAGCCGCCAGAGCAGAGAAAATTCCACATAATTTATCTTCTTGGCGACCCAACATCTCCACAAATCCTTCTATATAGTTCCTATAATCCAACCGGTCCAGTGGTCCTCCCGAAAATGCACAAAGTAAAAATCGGCAATCAAAAAATAATTGCCTTTTAAAAATGCCGAATAAACTAGCCTACATCTATGCATGCGATGTCTTCATTAAAATATGCTTTAGGGATGGGGGTAAAAAGAAAAAGAAAAGAAAGAAAAAATCTGGTAATTGGCCCCCGCTGCTTCTTCCCCGGCTATGGAAATCCGTGCAGGTCACAGAGCCCCTCGACCAACACCAGAAGATCAGACATCTTGCTCAAAAAACGGCATACCTAATACTTTTAAAAAGTGATGACAAGTGTTCTTCCCCCTTAAAAAAACACAAACCAAACAAACACGGGCATGAGTGACTGAGCAGCAGCCTCTTGACGATCAAATTGGTGGATGAAATTTCCCAGTCCAAATCTGCAGATGAGGCATGGTTCCAGCGATGCTCTGGCGCCAGACTATTCCACAACGTGATGTTGTTAAAAGATATTTGTTTGAGCTTGGAAACGCGCGTCGTCTGGAGGGGAGCGGTGGGTTTGTATTACAAAAAAAAGAAAGAAAAGAAAAGAAAAAAATTAAATCTTCATTCCCCCGCTTCTTTTCTTTTTTTTGTCTTCCCCCTCTGTTGTTGCTGCTGATGATGATGATGATGATGTAGATCAGCGCAAAGTCACTGAGGGGAAAATGCACATTGAAAAAGCACTGGGTAATATCTGATGCAGACGTCAGAGCAGGCTATATCACTCCTCTGGTGGAGAAAAAAATTAGATGCCGAGAAATATGGATGGCCCCCCCGATACGCCAAATGCAATGTGTCACAACGTCGGATTAGCCTACATGTTAAAGACGCAAACCTATTCGAAAAGTCCACTTGCCTCCGCTGCCCGGCGTTAAATGGCGTTTGAATACGTTATTAGGGTCCGGTGGTCTTCTCCTGGAAACACCGAACCAATGACCAAAGAGATATGATGAGGGAATCTCGTCTCCTGTGTTTTCTTTCTGTTTTTTCTTTTCTTTTCTTTTTGGATCTCTGCTTTTAAAATAAAATAAAATATCCTACTAAGGGGTGAGGAGGGAGGGGGACACCTAAGGTGAATTCCTTAGCGACAGGCTGTTCATGCGCTGAATTGTCTCTCTGAAGCCCATTAGGATGCTGGAAGTGTGTGCCGGTGCGTTTCCGTGCGTTTCTTCCACTTTGCCACATTTCTGAAACACGCGCACTTACGCATGAAGGCGCTCACCCACACACAAGTCATGCATGCGGGCACACTCGCGAGCGCACCCACGGCATGGAAACACGCACGTCGAATTTATTTATTTATTTCATTCCTCTTCAGCATGTCCCCCCCCCCATTAGTAACATAAACACTGGGAAATTGGCAACACGCGCACACCACAATCGGAGAATCACACGAGCTTGTGTTTTATACAGAGGAAGAGGTTTTCTTCAGGGATCTCTGTGCTGTCCAGTTGCTAGGCAACCCAGCCAGCACTGATGCAGTTGTGGTGATTCGAAGGCTATGCGCAAAGGCTCGTTTAAAGGAGCAGACCCGGCTCTGTCGCCGTTGTGGTGTCAGTGGGACAAAAGCAAACAGCGACTGATGAAGCTGACCACCGAGGCATTTGTGTTACATTAAATGCATGCAAGAACGAAATGTGGTGTGACTCGGGGTTTCGCACTGTACTTTAACCGCCTCATCATCGTCATTGTCATGGCCACAAGCACTGTCACGAATAACCAGGCAACCAGTCTCTAGTTTCTTCCTTTCTTGCTTTTTTTCTCCTTTTAATGTCTTTTTCAGCACACTCAAAGCATTTGTTGCTGCTTCTGCCTCAACTCTGCTGTCCTCCATTCTAAGGAAATTTCACTTTGTCCCTCCCCCACAGGTGATGTCACAGCACTGAGCCAAAAGGGTAAGGAAGTGGCAGAGAAGGAAAATAGTTATCCCGTTTAACTTCCTATTTTAACCGATGCTTAAATGTACACAATAAAGCATGCCATTGCTGTATTTTGGCTTTAGCTTCGGAAGAGACCATTGAGCGGCCTGACTCTGACCATCATAACCATTATCGCTATTGCATCGCTATTTATATACTGAGTAACACCAGATGCATTCAATTATATAATAAATATTCTAAAAAAGACTTTGGTAAGATCATGACTGACTGTGACCTGAAACCCAAGGGCTTGGCAATTACGACTGGCTCTCACACACACTCATACTTGTTGCATCACAGGAGCTGATAGTCAGACAAGCTTGAAAGTGTGATGGCTCCAAATCTGGTGTAAAGCATCTGATTCAGCAAACTGAGTGTTAGTTTGTTCATGATGTTGGAAACACTTGGTAGCTGAACACTAGTTTTGTTTTTCTGCAGAATATTTCTCCTATCATAAACCTCACTGCTCTTCAGCTGGGGATTTCTCCAAAGAGAGGCTTAAGAGGTAATATCCCTGGATACTTGAGAAGTGATTTTGAATGGCCCTAAAAACTCATATTAACAATAATTGGACATTGTTTCTCAGGATCATTTAATGATCATGTCTGTTATTTTTTTCTTTATCAAAAAAAATGAAAGTATAACAGTGATACAATTAGAGTCACTAGTTTCCTCATTATTAGTTTACGAGTACAAGATGATTGTAGATGTTCTAATTAATGATTAATGCCTAGCTATAGCTTAAGGTTGATTTTCAACTGTACATAAAAGAAGCAAATCCTCCATTGGGAAAGTGAATCCTGTAATGTGCATTTTTGCAATGGCCAGCAGGGGGCTACTCCTCTGTTTGTGCAACTGAAGTGCCTCAATAAACGCTCTCCTCATGTGTTAGTTGTCTCAGTATGTCGTTTTATAGTATATTTAATAGAATATAAAGTTCATTATTTTGAATGTGGTCCTATTTGGACTCAAAGTGATGACAAAACAGGGAATGGTTTCGAGTGAGGCTAACTTGTGATTAACTAGCGAACATTTTTAGTTGGGTCCATCTCTCACATGTGATATCTGGTTTCAAAAGAAGCGAGACGTTCAACGCTAAAATGTTCAAGTTTTTTCTTTGAAGACAAACTAGCTCAATGTATTCTCATTTTTAATTGGTCTGCTCATGTCTACGTGCCAAAGCAACAGGAATTGTAGGTTTGATAAGTGCTACTTGTCCGCATGTGTTTCATTTGAAGGCAGTTCAGCTCTCATAGGATACGTTTTTGAGCCACAGTTGAGCAGTGGCAGTATATAATGGAGCGTAATATGGAGTTGAAACCTGGCTGACAGCAAGCTAGATGAATACTTCCAGTGTCTGGGCATGCACAGTCTGCTCTACATTATAGACAGTTTTTCTCTCCCATCCACAGCATTCCCTGATTAATGCGATTAACTCTCATTGGCATCTATGACAAGGAGACCCAAGTCCCTGAGATGTGCATGTTCCATGCACTTTTTTTTTTTTTTGCGCCATTCATATGTTGCATAACACGTGTGAGTTACTGGGTCACCCTTGCTCCTCAGATATAAATAGTATCACATGGTTAATGCATTGGTGCCTTCCAGTCACTCGCTTTTCCTCTTGCTGTTCATAGACATCAGTCAAACGCCCCAATCGACTCTTAGTAACACATGATGCTGTATGTTTAACTCAAGTGTTTAGACAACATGCTTTATCCTTTCTTCATACAACTTCACCATCAGTCTGGGACATGAGTGGATAGGTGTGTTTTCAATGGTGGTGGGGGGGAGGAAAGTTAATGAGAGTTCATTTAACATTAATTTGTTGTGGGATTTTTTACACTCCCTCTGATTAAAGAACACAATCAAGGCTTCTCGCGAAGGGGTTTAATTTACAGCAATGAAGTCCTTAACTGTGAGGTGAAACAAAAGCTTTAGCTCATGTTTGCTCATTCTCACTGTAAGAGGGATCCCTGTGACTAGTTTAAGGACAGAAGCTTGATGACCTGAAGAGGCTGAATATTTGGAAAGATAGCAATGTTGGTCTGAAACTGGAAACCAGGCTTTACAATATTCTCATAAATACGTGTCAAAAGTATTTGCTCATATGCCTTCAAATTCAAATTCTTAGCATTTACTATGATGTTGACCCACCCTTTGCAGCTCTTCAGCTCTCCTCGGAAAGCTTTCCACAAGGTTTGGGAGTGTGTTTCTGGGAATTTTTGACCATTCTTCTAGACGCACATTTGTGAGGTCAGACATTGATGTTGGATGAGAAGGCCAGACTCGCAGTCTCTGTTCTAATTCATCCCAAAGGTCTTCTATCTGTTTGAGGTCAGGACTCTGTGCATGCCCAGCCCCTGAAATACAAACCACACCATAATCCACCATCCACAAACTGTACTCCTGGCACAGTCAGACAAGTATCATTTCCCTGGCAACCATCAGACCTAGACTTGTCCATTGGATTGCCACACAGAGAAGCGTGATTCGTCACTCCAGAAAACTTGTCTCCACCGCTCTAGAGTCCAGTGGCGGAGTGCTTTACAACACCATTGTGCTTGGTGATATTGGGCTTGAATGGAGCTCCTTGGTCATTGAAATCCATTCCAATGAAGCTCTCTACACACTGTTTTTGAGCTAATCTGAAGGCCAAATGAAATGTGGAGGTGTGCACCAATTCACTTTGCAGAAAGCTGCTAACCTCTACACACTATGCACCTCAGCATCCGCTGACCCTGCTCTGTGAGTTTACATGATGAATCTCTTCATGGCTTAGCTTTTCCCAGTTGCTTCCACTTTGTTAAGTGGCATCCTATCACTTATTGATTGATATCCAAGATGGCGCCGCGTATGGATGCCCTGGTGCTTCAGTGCGTTACTTCTGTTTTGTTTTTGTGCATAACTTCTGTGTCTGGGCACTCCTCTAGATATTCTTATACCAGAGAAGAGCTTCTTAACTACAGGACTACAACACCTGTGGATTTACTTCCAATATTTGTCGCATCTGCGGCAGATTTACTGCAGACTCTGATCAGGAAAGTGAGACGCCGAAAGAGAGGTAAGCGAGCCGGCGCACTCGTGCGTCTGAGGAGACGTGGACTGCGAACTGCTCTTCCTGGGATCTTCCTTTCCAATGTACGCTCACTCAGGAATAAAATAGACGAGCTGGCCCTGATGAGAAGCATGAACAGAGACTTTGCCTCCTCCTGTGTCTTATGTTTTACGGAGTCGTGGCTCTGTGAGGACATCCCGGACAGCGCGCTCAAGCTGGAGGGCTTTCATCTGCTGCGCGCGGACCGGCAGGCCTCTCTCTCTGGTAAGACCAAAGGTGGAGGTGTCTGCTTCTACATTAATAGTGGCTGGTGCACAGATGTAACAGTGATTGCTCAGCACTGCTCTTCCTCTCTGGAATACCTTTTTATTCACTGCAAACCGTTTTATTCTCCGCGGGAGTTTGCTTCATTCATCCTGGCCGCTGTTTACATCCCGCACTCGCGGAGCAGATCACTGCACATGGAGCGGACATTCCCGGACTCTCTCATCATTGCTCTTGGGGACTTTAACAAAGCCAATCTGAGCCATGAGCTTCCCAAATACAAGCAGTATATTAAATGCCCGACCAGAGAGGAGAGGACATTAGACCACTGTTACAGCACGATCAGCGGGGCCTATCGTGCGGTGCCCCGCGCTTCACTCGGACTTTCTGACCACGTCATGATCCACCTAATCCCCGCGTACAGACAGAGGCTGAAGCTCTCCAAACCTGTCGTGAGGACCAAAAAACTGTGGAGCAACGAGGCTGTGGAGGAGCTTCGCACGTGTTTGGAGTCTACAGACTGGGACACAATGAAGGCTGCTTCTAACAGCTTGGACGAGTTTACGGACACTGTCACCTCCTATATCCACTTCTGTGAGGACAGCATTGTGCCATCACGCACCAGGGTGAGTTATAACAATGACAAACCCTGGTTTACTCCTAAACTCAAAAAGCTGTGGCTGGAAAAGAGAAAGGCGTTCAGAAGCGGAGACAGGGACTGCTACAGAGAGGCCAAGTACAGGTTCACTAAAGAAGTGGACATTGCTAAACATCAGCACTCTGAGAAGATGCAGCAGCAGATCTCAGAGAATGACTCGGCCTCTGTGTGGAAAGGTTTTAGGAATATCACCAACTACAAGCCTAAAACCCCCCACTCCACTGATGACTTGCTCTTGGCCAACACCCTTAACGACTTTTACTGCCGTTTTGACGAGCCATCAGGCAGCCTTCACACCTCCAACGGCCCCAACAATAGAGACACTTTGGACACTCATTCCCCCACCTCTCCCCCCTCCATAGAGCCATCA